TTTCTGGTAATTTTCATGACTGTTGAATTCCCCACAAAGCCGAGTTTCCTGAAATTTTCTACCCGTTGTTTCTGTTGCATGATGAGCGGAGTAGAACTAAGAGCATAGAAGTGATATTCCGGAAAAAGGGGAAATTTGTTTCAATTTGTCGAATCATGGACCGTCTTGTTCCATCATTCCATGAGGCTATGGAAATGGAGACAGTCCGATTCCTTGAGCTCGGCAAATAGATATAAGCTAGTGAGTTGATTCTGATTCTATTTCTAGTAGGAAATAGCCAATAGGTTTTTGTGATTTTATTTTTTAGAAAAGTGAATTTAACTTCCAAAATGTGATTTTATTTTTTAGAAAAGTGAATTTAACTTCCAAAATGTTCTTTAACTTTGGTTCGTAATAATCCCTATACTTTTAAAAAGTGACTATTTAACTATTTAAATTTCTTAATTTTATTTTTAATCTCATTTTTATACTGAAACTCGATTTCTTAAAATGTAATCATGACTTTATATTTAAATAGTTTTTCTTATATGCAGAATTTGTGTTAAAATCACAAATTCTGTATAAAATTTTGTAAATGCAGAATTTGTGTTAAAATTTTGTAAATAAAAGACCAAAATGATCACTTTTTAAAAGTACAAATTGTCATTTTAAAAGTACATAAACTAAAATAATCCTAAATCAAACTTGAAAGTAGAAGGACCAAATTTGTATTTTAATTTTATTTTTATTAGCTATGCCCATGACAATATATTTCTAGCAAAATAATTAACTTTGACTAAACTTCTTCTACCATATCAAGAGTAAGTGCGGTGATGCTTAACAAAATCTTACGGTACGGTAGTGTAATAGAAGGCAAAGACATGAATAGGCCCTCCCTCTATTCAAGTAATTCATCAAATTTGATTAAAATATAATTATGAAAATGCTACTATATTCTTTTTTTCCTATTATTATTATCTCTGCATTAAGTATTATTAGGGAATATATTGAGTTTTCAATTGTGTGTGTGTTTTTTTTTTTATTTAAATGAATCTATTTTGCTAAACTGAGTATAGCTTAACTATTAAGTATCTATCCTCGTCTATAAAGTTTAAATAATAATAATAATAATAAAAAAAGTGAACTAATTGTTAAATAACTTTTATCTAATTCATAGATAATGGTTCACAGATAAAATTAAGATTTTCATTAAGGAAACTTATGTTACCTTAAACCAAACATGTGATTACCTTTTTTTCAATATTTTTTTTATTTGACGAAAATTTATGTTTTCTTACCTAGTGTGTTTGTGTTTTTTTTCTTTCGCATGTATATACTTAAAATTTATAATTATTAGTCGGGTCAAATGCTTAAACTATGATTTTCCAATTCAATTTTCACTCTCTCCTGGAAATAGCCAGTTTTTTCTTTTCTCAAAAGCTAAAGCTTAAACTATTTTTCTTTTTCAATTCAAATTCCCATTTCTTGTAAGAAATAGCCAATAAATATGTTTTTAAATTCATATTTTGATATTTTCTCTTTACACGTTAGCTTGGCTTTAAATTATTGAAATGAAAGAGATGGGAGATAATATCAAATGGATTAAATTTTCCATAATAAATCAATATTTCACCTAAAAGCTAAAGGTATTTGGATAATGTAAATTAAATTTAATATTTTTAATTCTCATTTGTTGGTTATTAGAGGCATCCCGAAAATGTCAAATTATCATGTGAAAGTAAATTAAAATGATTGAGCTACTAACTTATGTCTATTCATATAAAGTGGTAAAATATTCTCATATGGAGTTGTTTATACTTTTCCAAGCATCTTTGCCTAATTGTCAATGTTGCCTTTTCTTCTCCTTGGCTGATATACTAGCTACCACTTTTCTTAAGGAGGTATACTTTTTACTTTTGGTGTTTGGATAAATTTAATAATACCCATAAATACTCTGGGTTTTTGGTAATTGGATTCATTCATTTTTTGGTGTGGGTCATGGTTAGCATGTTCTACATAATTAAAATAGAAATGTAAAATTGTTTTCTACTTTTTAGAACAAAAGAAAAATTAAAAGACATTTTTTGTCTTGTACCTCCATGAAGGTACATTTGATTGATTATGGAGTAGGAATTTAAATTTACGACATTTTAGTTAGCTTTAATCAGTTGAGCTATGTTTTAGGCTGGTAAATCATTAGAGACTTAAAAACTACCTATTACATATTAAAGTGTAGGAGTTAAATTGTCATCAATCTGATATGTAACTAAAAATTTATATTTCGGTCATTGTTGCTATTTTTTGAGCCTCTCCCTACCTCCCATAGCCTTTCATGAACAACTACTTTTAGAATAGTTGATTTTTTTTTAAAAAAAGTATTGTTACAATTATAAAATCATGAATAATGGTTTCAACTTTCAAGACGCAATAATCTTTGTTTTTAAAGCCTGTTAAATTTATTCTTGAAAGCAATATTGAAAACAAATGCATGAAACTGTTTTTGAAAACATTTATTGAATCGACATAAATAACAAATGAAAACATTACAATTCTTGTTGTGACGAATGGTTTGTGTATTGCATTGAACTATCTTGATTGATATTTTGGGTTTTTGTTTTCAATATGTGGGGATTTATTTACCTTTCTATTTAATTTGAAGGAAATGATCACTCGATTATAGAAAAATCTCTCTCCTCAAAAATAGAAATAAAGTCATGATTGGGATCTTTAAATTAAATCTTTCAAATGTAGTACTCTATTCTAGGTCGAATATTAATATATAAACGAGCATCGTAGCAAAGCAAAATCAATGCATCACGTGTAATTTTTCCTGATACGATAGGGTACAAAAGTTTTTTCTCCTCGATGAATGTATTTTATTAGTAAACTTTTTATATCGTTTTACAGTTATTTAATAGCATTTAAGGTTGTATCTGATAATGACTTTGTTTTCAGTCTTTTAAATGCAAATTTCTTGTGAGGGAAAAAAAATAATAGTAATAATAAATAAAACATATTTTTATTTTCCAAAATTTCACTTTTTTTTTCTGGATACTATTCTCGTTAACGAACTCCTTTATCTTTTACATTCTCCTAGATTTTCTCCCTTAATCTCGACACTTGGCTCTATGAATTTTCTTTTATTTTCTCTAACTATTCTTCTATTCTCTCTCTAAAATTCCAACTTAACTTATTTTCTTCTCTTGATAACTCCTTTTCTCTCTAAAATTTCCTCTCTTTATAATTTGATTTTACTTTCTCCAACATACTGCTGTCTAGTAAAATTAAAAGATGAAAATAAAATCTTAGATCTTACAATAATAGAACTTCAAATCAATTGTGTAAACACCGTGAAATAATCTGAAAGTTCAAAATTTTATGGAAAAAAATATATAATTCAAATCACAGCATAAGGTAAAACATATTATAGAAAAGTCAAATTTATGTTATATTTAGAACAAATGAGAAGTTAGGATATTGTTTAAAATACATAATGGATTAATTTTATGGAGTGAAATTTTTCTACAAGTTTGTATTAACAAAAAGAAGTGGGTGAAAGGATGCAGTATTCTTAGTTGAATGGACAGAGACATTTCCAAATAGAGATTTCAAAAAGAAGTAATAAACGTCAACATGAATATAACTCATAAGGTTAAGATATCTATATCGGACCACAAAAAAACATTATGATTTTGAATTGTTCATCACCAATTTACCCAAAAGAAAAAAGAAGAAAAAAGGACAATAAAAAAAGGACGAACTAGTATTTATGAGTAAACTTTCAAAACATGAGAACTAGTTTTTGTTTTTTTTACTCATTTCGTCTTTTTTAATAAATAAAAATAAAAATACATTTACCAATTGTTTTTATCTGTCGTTATCTAAAAAAATAAAATTAAAAAACAGAAACATGAGTAGTCACTGTTTCTTTTGTCTCGTTCTCTCAAATTTTAAACTTAAAAAAATAAATGAAAATTTAATTTCTTTAACTAAATATTCCAAATTTTTATGTTATATATAATTTTTTAATATTTATTATATGTTTTATAAGTCGACAATAACAAAATGATGCTTTATTTATATTCTGCAAAAAATTCTAAAGAATAACGAAAAGATTGATTTTGTTGTTTCCAAAATTAATTTTAAACTAAGAAACAAAATACAGGACAATTACCTAGAGCTAACTTTGAAAACGTACCAAGCAAGCTTTAAATTATTCATTCTTATCGTCCCCTAAGTTTTCAATAAAAAAATTATATCAGCCCATGTTAATTTTTTATGAATTATTTAACAAGAATTTAAATACACTAAGAAACTTCAATAATAAACTTAGCTTCCAACAAAAAACTTATTCAATAAAAATAACGACAAGAAATATCAAAACTATTACAATAAATTAAAAGAGGTCATCCACAGCTAGTTTTATTTAATTGGATGTACGAGAGAAATTACAAGATTTATTTCATATCTGTATCTATACCATGGTTATTAGGGCATTCAAAATTCAAATTTGTATCTAAATATGTGGTAGGTTCATTTCCATTCAATTAATTTTGCTAGTTTAGGGTTTTACCTGAGAGCCCCTTCACCCATTCAATAGTTATTCTCCCCCAGGATCAATAAACAATATTAATTCTAAATTAGTAAACACCATTGGAAATTTTATTTTTACAATCTACTTCTCCCCAATTTTCTATTCAGAAAAAACCTCCACCTAAAAAAAATAAAAGACCTAATATTTCATAGCTCTAATTACCCTACACATTTGATTCCCTCCCATTGAAGTGCGAGTGAGAGTGCCCACAACTTCTAGAGAAAGAAGATGAAGACATCAACCACAGATGCAAGAGAATCTTTTTTTCTTTTCTTTTTCTAAATCCATTACCTATTAGTAAAAGCCTTCATGTAAGGAAGCGAAATGCTCTTATATTTCATCTCTCTTCTCTATACCCTAAACATTGACTCCCTTCCATTGGAAGGCGAGAGTACCCAAAACTTCCAGAGAGAGGGAAAGAAAGAGGTAAATGAATCTTTTTTCTTTTTCCTTTTTGAACAAATATATAAATAGGGTGGAAGATTCGACCAGCCATTGATACTTAAGCCAACTGAATTTTACCATTTAATGGTCACTGTCAGATAAACTAAAAGCAAGCAACTTCAAATGCATAGAGGATAAATTTACAGCCGCTATGCTCTTTTTTTACGAGGTTTGAGACAGACAGCAATTTACCTGATCATGTCTAGAATGATGGCCGGCAATTAATCCATGAATGAGAGGGAATTTTTCACTTCAACAGGGCATCAAATCGCCTTCTATCTCGCCTGCAAAAGATTGTCAAAAATGGCAATAGACAAACAAATATAATGAATCCATGTATTATAAATCTTAATGGTTAAGTGCATAACTTTTCAAGTTTCTTGAAAGTTTGTTACATTATGTTGCTTTATTTCTTTTTCCTTACGTATTTTCCCATTTTTTGGTTGCAATGTTATGGAAGGAAGGGATGAGTAGTATATGCATCCTCGAACGTAAAAAAAACCAAAGCTCTAAGATATTGAAATCTCTCAGTTGAAATAACAAATTAGAAAATAATTATAATACGACAGAAATAGCAGTTACTAAGATTATCTCAATAATATATATTATATGGTAAATAATCTCTTCTGGAAAATGTTGAGAAGCTCTGGAAAGAACCATGCAGTATCAATTAGGGGCCTGTTTACACAGTATACGGATATAATTTGAATTGTGAAATTTAAATTTTAGGATTTGTTTTTTAATGGATTATTAGACATTGTTAGGAAATTTAAAAGTTCTCCTTTTTAAATTAAAGATCCCGTGGGAGTTTAACTATTTAAATGGGAACCTCCAGAGAAATATTTAATTGAGAATTTCTTTAAAAAATAATAATAAACAGTTAGAACTCAAAAAAATAATAATAAATAAACAAAATAAACCGAAAATAATTCCCTGTGGGAACCCGGTCCCCGCGAAATTTCATAGAGAATTTTGCAGGGATGGAAAATGAAATGGGGGCGGGGAATGCCCCCATTTATAGCTTTCTGACGCAACAATGTACCCCAATATAAAAACAAGAGCAAATTAGAAACTTACCATGCATGCACTTGATGAAGTAGTCCAACTCTGGAAAACAAACGGCTCCTTGAATCAAAGCAGATGGCTGTCGATATGCAAAGAAGGAGAAATGATGGCGATCAGGGTTATTCCTCGGCTTTGCCATATCAACAACTCTCACATATCCATCTCTGTCATAGCATGAAAGAGAATTTTCACCAGCTACGGTTAAGCCTCGATCCCAAGCTGAATTTAAAATCTGTAGATGAGGCATGAAGATCTCCCATTAAAGGCAATGATAAGGGAGCAGGGACAAGAAAAAGAACAGTTGTATTTCAACCAGGAACGTATAAATAAATGTTGCACACATTAAAGTTAATACTTTCTTTTACAAATCTCAAAGGAATAATAACGTTATTAATAAAATTCACTAAAAGGGGAAAAAAATAAGAAACAATAATCTGAACAAATCATAACAAAATTCTTGTATCAAAAACAGAAAACTGTATCAAAAACCATTTCGAAACAGCCCATTAGACTTTATCAAGGCATTAATCAATGGCCAGCAAAATCATAGCAGAGGCACTCGGATATGCTCAATGGTGTAAAGAAAAGACATAAGATACTTAAAAAATTCATCACCTGCCAACTCAAACTTTCTGGATCAGACAATGCATCATCCACTTCGTGACCAGCAACCGGCATGCCAGAACAGACAAGTTTGACTATTACGGAATGTTTCTTCAAAATATCAAAAATAGGGGAGTAACCATCTTGGTTAGAGGGGTTATAAAACCCAGCTGTTAGCTCTGCTGCATGACTAGAAGTCTTATACCACCAATAAACTGCAGGAATCTGTATTATAGAAAACATCCAATTCAGAACTGATTGCACAATAAGACAATGAACTGATGAATTAGGATTGATTGATAACATCAAATATTTCAGAAGTTGAACTCATAAAGTGGAGATGGAAGTTTGCAAATAAATTATAGCATGCGGATTTTCTTAAAGAAAGTTGTAATATCCATGATTGAAGATTAATTATGCAAGTGGGGAATACAGCTATGATGGTTGTAGCCAAAAAAAAAAAAAAAAAAAACATGCAATGATAGTTGAAAGACATAATTATATACTCTAGCTTGTTGCCTTGTTCAATATATTGACCTATACTTCTCCAAATACAATGCTACGAACTTGGGTCAGTGAGAGAATAATGGAGAAGAAAAGAGAGAAAAGAGGGACAGGATGACAAATATGGGGGCTTATTGTATTATGACCCTCTAGATCCACATCTGGAAACTCAAGAGCTCCAAGATACTCTCCCCAAGTTGAGAAATTTCAAACATTAATAGGCTCTTCACTTCCCTGATTCCCTCTTCTCTCATAACAGAATATATATTACACCGAACTCCTTTCAGCCAACTTTCACATTTACTCCCAGTATTCTGTTAGTTCGATGTCTGGTATCCATCCTGCCGATGGAATGCCACTGTCCACTCCCATTCTCACGCCTAATATAAGAAAAGCACAATGGTGGAGTCATAGGCTCCTAGGACATATCTTACAGTTACAACCAGCATTATGCACCATGAGAGAAGACACAATTCAAACGCAAGTCCAGTTAACATAAAAAACTTCATTTTTTAAAAAATCTCAAAGGAAAGAATGTGCTCTGAGAAGCAAGTTTAATTGTGATGCTAAGACTGCTAAACGAAGTAAATTAAGTACCAAAACTTAAGTAGCAGCTGCATGAGACTCATTGCAGAGGGCCACTGATGATACACTGACAATGACAACAACTTCTAAAATAATTAAAAATAAGTTCAGAATGAGGAAGGTGACTTCAACATCTCGTGTGCCTGGTGGTATACTAACTTCAAGAAGAAATAATCACAAAAAGAGCAAGAAAATTAATTCATGAAAAATAAATCAGTGTGACAAGTCATAGACCATGGAAAAAATCTAGCACAAAGCTAAGATTTTCCAGTGAGAGAGGCACCCTCTTACCTTAACAATAAATTTTGTGTCCTCAAAGACAAGGCTTGCAAGAGACAGCACGTTATCTACATGATATATCAGCGTCTGGGCATACCATTGGAGGAAAAAGCGACCATAGTAGCTATCATAATCACCTCGTTCACAGAAGAACCCTGATTCATGTGGTCTAGAATTGTACTGGCCGGCATTATCAGGCCCCCTAGCCCAGAATGAGTGACCACGCAACCCAGCAGCTTTGCGCAGACTCTGTTGTAGATACTTATCATAACACTGCACACCAAATTCCCCAGAGGTAAAGGTAACAATCAGCAATTTAGGTTCCAAGAAATTATACTACTAGGTCTTACAAGGTGATTGAGTGTTTATGGTCCATTTTCACGAGTAGGCTCAGTACTTTCTAGAAGAACTTAGAAATGTGTCCCAGAATTTTCAAGGAAATATAATGATGACAATTCTTTTCCATCCTACACGCTGATGGAATCTTCATGAGATATGAAACACAATACTTGATGGCCAAGGAATCCTAAGAACAGGGGATTATCTATATGATGAAGAGATAATCTTTAATAGATACCTGAAACTCACCGATACCAGGATACCTCCATCCCATCCTTTCTGAGAAAGAAGGATATTTTAGTTCTCCAGATGCCCCCAGTCCTACTTCAACAGCAGAGATGAGACCCTCAGCAAACAAATCATTGAACTCGGTATGAAAGCTTCTCATAAAGTCGAAATAGACCTGAAAATATTTGACATTCAATATGGCAATAAATCCAGGTTATAATTGGGATGATAGATATAGATACTCAATTTAAAAGTATCTCAAGGCCAGAATCGGAAAGGAAGTTAGAGTTACATAATAGGCATTTATAGAACTTAGAAAAACGTATAAAAGTAAAATCAAACATTAGATATCTCAAGTTATCTAAATTTATCACAGTTTGACATTGCAGTATTATTGCACACAAATCACTTCATTACCTCAATTCCAGTTCTTCCTTTTAAAACTCGCTCTTTGTCAATGCCCCAAGATAGGCAATCCTTATTCCTCCTTCCTTCACGATCTGTAAAGAAAATATCTGGGTTCTCCTTCCCTATCTCCAAAACCCATTGCGGGAGCTTGATTAATGCATCACCTGATTCAGTGCCTCCAAATGCATGAAATGCCATCACTACCTTTTGAAATAACATTTCCAGAAGTGATTCAACAATCGTTAGAAAACAAATATTTTATGAGAACCAACCATAGTAAATCTGTGAACTTTACACAACAATGACTAATCACAATGCTCCTAAAGCCGGCTATGCATCTTCTCATGAGCAAGACCATAACTCAGAAAAAGATTTCCAAAACTGAAGATGGACTGGACTGTTATTCTTATCTTAGGGCCCCCCGGGGGTAACCATCCCAAATTATGACAAAACTTAGTTCACTTAAGCATCACAGATTTAGAATATCTGTTCACTCTCATCAGATAATGCAATAATATAGCCTTTTGCAACTATTTTGGCCAGTCGATAAATTGAGGGTGGCAACATATAAATTATGACAAAGTAGATAACAGAAACATTTTTGGGTTTGGTGAAAAATAAACAAGGGGAAACCCCTAAAGAACTTAAACATAGCATATTTAGTGATGGGGTTTCTTCTACTTCTACTGTGATTCATACTTTACATGATCTGATCTACACACAAATGGAGCCGTATGTGCAGCTCATTATTGGGAAACTACCTGCACTTTCAGCTTGAATTCTCGTATGATGTTAAAAAGGTCTCTATAGCCAGACCACACATACTTCTGTGGGTTCCAAGCTTCTACAATACCCCACCAACAATCCACAATAACGCCATCTACATTTAGTGATTGCAAATGACTTAACTCCTGTCTGAGGCCATCAGGATCAACCAATTGACTGAAGTTGTTTATAAAACCAGTCTGGCAACAAAGTTTGGAATAATTTAGCAATTTTGACAAAGTAAAAAGATTTGAAGGTAAATCTGAAGAAAGTTTGGAGTAACAAGAACTGATTAATAAATAAAACAAAAACCACTTACTGCGAGCATTACATAAACAGGGACATAAGGAGTGCCTCTGAACTGACTCTCATTCTCCCTAGAGCGAATATCTTGGATAAGCTACACCAGTTGACCAAAAAAATACTCTCAGTTTTTTCGGATTACAAAGCTTCAAAAAATCAGGGAAGCAAACAGATAGAAAGGAATATGCTTGATGCATCACAGGATTATGATCCAAGTAAGAAAACTGCAATAAAACCCCCTTAAAGAATTGTCTCATTTTATTCCATTAATTATAGTACAGAAATTTTAGTTGAATAAAAACATAATTAGATCAATTATTCATTAATTTCCTATGCAGAAAGGACAACACGTCATCTTATTTCTCAACTACAATGGAAGACTTCAGCCTTTCTTAGGCCATGAGTCCCTTTAGAGAATATGTAGGCGGAAGGGAATATGAAGCAGATTCAAAATATGTTGATCTTTATGCCTGTACTACATATGTATGCTTTACATCACAAATGTCCTAAATAGTTGATTTTCATGTCCATAAAGGCATTGGGAATACCTGATGTATATCAAGACATCACTTACACTGTGTGCCTTGCACGCAAGGTTTAAATTTCAGTTAGTTAAGTCACAATACATTGCTCTAAATAAGAAATTAAAAATGGCACAATAAAGTGGGGAAAAAATAGCTTATTGCTGAAAAAAATCACCTGATCTTCCAAGCAGTGAGCTGAGTTAAGAGGGCTCGAAGCTGCATACTTCTCGTTCTTTGCATCTCTTTCTGTGATGACAACCGAATCCAAAGATGCTGGGGACAAGCTGTCATCAATTCTGAGAACAGATGGCTGACAATCTAATGCTGCTTTAATAGAGCAAGCCTTAAAAGAACCAGATGAGATAGGGCTCTCGCCCGACCTTACAGGAAATGCTGCCTGTGAAATATTTACAACGAACACTGAGCAAGGCTTTAGAAAGAATGGATAATACAAAGGATTTAAGCAGTATTGAAACTAGGACGACCAAAGTTGATCATATTTAGCGTAGCACATATTTTATATTTTATTATCCTGATCTGCTAAACAGGTAGAACTATAACTCCACCTACGTTGTCTGCTATTTAACATATACAACAGAGACACGAAGGTTTTCCAAGGACAGCAGAAACCTATGAAGCATCGCCAGATATCCAGACGTAAAGTGCAGCAAAGTTTTAAGTTATATGTTTGTCTGTAAAAGAATCGATGAAACTACGAGAATAACCGATGAGTTGATTCTTTTGAGCCTGTTATCATCACCTATCATAGAAACTTCATTTACGTTCTCTATTTCTTTTTTGCCGCATTCATCGTTAGTCATTACAGAAATGATTTGATATTCCATTAAATCATCTTCGTTCGTTCTCAATTCTCCTAACGGCATCAGAGATCAATCTATAGTTACTTCAAACAATCCACAAAGATATCCAAAGTACGAAAAATTTAGCGTCATAATGACTCTTAAATTGAATTTTCAAAACACACGAGGATTTGAATAAGAAGCACCAACCGCTTGGGACTGAGAAGGCGGAGCGGACTGCCTATAGGTTGTGCCATCGGCCTCAACAATCCAGCCAGCCTCCCTAGCAAGTGCGGCCAGCACATCGTTCATATCAGCACGAGCAGGGAGGGGGAAGTTACCGTACTGGCGAAGTCCTGCCAGTATTCGACTAGTAATGGCTCGGCGATGGCGCTCGCGCAGTTTCGTCCGCTCTTTTTCTTTCTCTCTTTCTCTCTTCGCCTTACCGCCAGTAGCAGAAGCCGTGGTAGTCGCGGCGGCAGCAGCGGTGGCAGCGAAACCACGAGGACGACGAGGCGGCGGCGGAGGTTGGAGTTGGTGGGATAAGTAGTCGGAGCCATGGTTGGCTTGGGGTTGAAGATCTTGGTGGAAGCTATCGTCGTTTAAGCTGCCGCTCATCTTCTTCCGAATTCTTGCAGCTAAGAAACAATTGCCAATTACATTGATTCGTTAGAACCAGTAGCCCCTAAGAACTCCGATTGCTGCTCTCCTCTGCGTCCACTTCCTCCGGCAAGACGATGCGCCTTCGCCTCGCACTCATTGCCAATGCTAGCAAACAAACAAATCTCTCCCTTTCCGATACTGAAAATTAAGTATTAAAAAATATATATATTTTTTCCAATAATTAACAAAGATCTCAATTAGTTGATATTATTCTTTTTAGATTTTAGATTAAAATATTATTTTGGTCCTTATCTATCGGCTCATGTTTATTTTGGTTTATTTACTTTATAAATGTTGATTTTAATGATTGTACTTTCAACTTTGATTCATTTTAGTAAATGTATTTTCAAAATGTTCATTTTGGTATATTTACCTTGAAAAAGTTACCATCTTGATTCTTTAATTTTATTTTTTCTATCACAATTTCAATACCACATTATAATCGATATATTTTTTAAAATTTCTTAAAATGTAAGAATGATTTTATATTAAAAGGTTTCTATTATGTATAGAATTTGTATTATTATTTTGAAATTAAGGACATAAATAGTCACTTTTTAAAATATAGAGATAAAAATTAACCTTTTAAAAGTATATGGCTAAAATGAACCAAAATTTAAGGGCTAAAATGAATATTTTGAGAATACTGACACCAAAATAAATCTAAACTTAAAAGTATAATGACCAAAATGTTCTATTAACTACATTTTATTATCCAATTTATTTATTCACACATTTACTCCATTTGTATGTATTGCGCTGCACTGAAATTTAGAGAATATTTTGTTGAATATTTGCACAATTAAGAATGTTTGGCTTATAAATTAAAAATTATAATATTTTTATATGTTTTTTTCTTTTGATAAGATAGAATTAGAGTCGAGATTTGAATTTTATTTTAACCTTGAAGTTACCGCTATCTTCTTTTTAGTTATTGATTAATATCTCTCCTTTTATCCTATAAATTGACTTTAATAAAAATACTTACAATATCTGTTTTCTCATACCTTAAAAAAATACAACATTACATTCCTTCATATTAAATTTAGATTTAAAATCCCATTAAAAATAAACCTATAGATAAATCCAAACCAAGTGAATTATGYGGATAGACATCCTAGAAAATAATTCTCCTGACTAGATCTTTTTTAAAATAAACCCTACATAAAAAAAATAATAACAATAACAACATTATCATACACAATTTTATTTTTTTGAGGAATAGTAGATAATAAGAAAAATATTAAGTAATTTTCAAACACATTTTAACTTCTTACTCTAAAAAGCAGAAAATTGTGTAGGAAAAAAAATGAAAATGTTATCGAAAAAATAAAATAGTAAAGAAATTCTGGTTTATTTCTTAACTTCCAGATTATAAAGATAATTTAAGAGCAATAAAATAAAATTTTAAATTATTAAAAACTTTCATTATCTTATTCACATCCTTGGACAATAGCAAGAGAAAATCTAATGTGTATCTCTGTGAAAACAATTTTCTCAAGTGATTGGGTCTCCATTTCCATTTCCATTTCCATTACAACACTCCAGCAAGTTGATACTTATAAAAGCATCACAAATTATAGAACAAAAACCTGAATTCCAGCATCATTTTCAAACTTTCTTGCTCAGCCAACCAAAAAGAATCATTAAAGATTTCCAAGAATCCAGACAGAGCAGAGGTTTTGAAAATGAGTCAATTTCACTTGACATCGTCCGATAATGCATCAGATCTGCTGCATATGTCCCCTCGACAGAGCGGGCATACCCTGCATAATAACATAGACGAGTGAGTGAGGTTCACTGGACATCAGTAGCATACAAAATACACGGGTCGCCCAAGTCAACAGTAAAATTCATTCATTCAGCATGTCGTGGCACAATGTTTCTATCATTTGAGCATATGAAGTCAGGCCCACTCTATGAGTGTTATCTGTGAAAGCCAGTGAATGATATATGTACCTAGAAGACAAGTCACATGGCATGTTCCAAAAATTCCAGAAAATGAGGCATTCATCCATGTATGCTAATTGAATGTCATTAGAGATGCTGAAAACGCTACATGGACCGAAAAACTACCTGTGGATCTCCTTCAACCACTTGTCGACACATGATGCATGAAATTCGTGATGGCAAGGCAACACTCTCATGTTATCTCCTTCCTCATACTCGACCAGGCATATGTAGCATCTGTATAGTTATAATACCGGAGAGTGGTTACACAAGTCAACTCTTAGGATGTGTCCATCGCACAATAGATTAATAATAAACATGCACATGGACAAAAACTTTCAAAGGAGGACCTTAAACTTAATAAATATGTGGTAAGAAGTTAATGACATCAACAAGAAATAGAAGTTCGATCGCGTCGAAGACAGACAAACGTTGATTGATTTTGTAGAAAATAAAAACGAATGCTTACTGGGCAACTTCCTCGCTTTGATGCTTTTGCAACTTGGAATAAAATTTAACAGGCAAAGAATCTACAACATCGTTTGGTGCAGGCATAGAGCCAATTGAAGATGCGGGACGAGAGGACAAAACCACAGATTGCTGGTGAATTTCATCCAGAACCTAATTAAAATAAGTACAAACATTCAACTAGTATAGACAAAATGTGAGGAAGGTCATTAAAGAAGGTGATAACATATTATTTTACCTCAAATAAGGCTTCAGCTAACATTACAATTCTTGATATACTAGCTCTAGCGCTGGTGTTGTCATTTATATTTGTGTCACGATTATTGATACGACAAGTACAATGGCCGGTTCTATGTTGACCAGATAAGATACATGATCTCTCATGCCCAGATAGGTTCTCAAAACGACTTCCCAACCGCTGTAGGGCACGAACCTGCATATAAGTGGATTTGAGAGAGCGAAAAGAATAAGAAACACCCAGAGTTAATTTTGTATCCCCCCCAAAATTTGCCACTATTATGAAATATGACCAACTTAACATTAGAATGTATTCTATTCAAAACTCCATCAAGAACAATTACAAACCTGGGAACGAATTCTTCTCCTCCGTTCAAGGAAATTTGACCTGTGTTCCAGCAAATCGTGATATCTAGCTTCTCTAGGTCTGGTAGTTTCCATTTCATAATCTTGGGTGCTAAATAAGGAACTAGATAGACTAGAAGCTGGATAACCCGACGTTGTTGGAGAGGTCATAGCATTATTTTCAGACGAAAAAGCCCTTGTCTCGGCAGTCTGGACATGTCGGTCATCACCAGTCTGACTTACATCTCTCTCCTCATCCTCTTGCTGCGGAGGACAAAATGTGAAGTCAGATAACGATGATCTTCGAAGAACTCTATCACGAAGTCTTCCAACACTAAGGGTCCGACTGAAACGAAAATTGCGTTCAACTGGTTCCCTAGATCCAGTTCGTCTGTCGAATTGTCTAATCAAACTGCTTTCATTTTCAGAAAGAATCCTTGGATGGGAAAGGTTTCCATCAGGCTCTACTCTTGCATCATCACAATCAGTAGCTATGTCATGGGTAGAAGAAACTGTCTGATTGTCTTGTAAGTTGTCAGAAAGACCAGAAGGTTGTGTATCTAACCTAAAATTAGCAGAATTATCTCCACAAAATTGAAAACAAGTTGCACTAGCCAGAGATGCCGGAAGCAAGTCGCTACCTTGCTGAGTTTCATCCTGATCATCCACGCCACCTCTAGCAGGTCTGTCCGATAAATGAAGCTCATCTTCATTATTCAACATTGAGAGACTTGTTGAAGACACAGGATAAGATCTAGATGATCCTAAACTGGTTGCTCTACTAAGTCTGAAGCTTACATTACCGGGAATGAAACTAAAGCGAGAAAGGAAGTTACTTGAAGAGTTCAACGATTGAAGGGACGATGCACGGGCAGAGGTACTTCCTGCTCTGGGGGCTGTAACTGCAACACTACCTCGATCCCATTCATCAAGCTCAACATTTGATGATATGCAAGGCAATTCAACAGGTTCCTCAGCTTTGATCCTTCTGTAACCATCGATTTTCATCTGATCTAACGCTTGAGCAGTCTGATTTGCAGATGAATAATCATGGGTATTTTTTTTGTTCTCACTTTCACAGTCCTGCAGAATAATCCAAAAACCAGGTCAGCTTCATTGACATCGTTGTCCGATTACAGTCATACAGATCAATGGGAATTAGACTGCCCATCAGTAAATCAAATAACAAAATCAGTTATGCAATCCAACTAAAAGGATAAGCAAATTTTAGACCAGATACCTGAGTAATCAATAATCCAAATTGCACGGGCAAAACATCATTTTTTTCATGGAGAAAAAATGAACATGAATCAAAACACAACACACAATGCAAAGTTAAAACACCACTAGCTCAAGACTTAAATGTAAATTCATAGACTGAATAACTGACAACAGAAGAAACCTGACTACATTCTGTGCAAATATGGAGCCTATTCTTCTTCTTCTTTCGCATTTCAGGCAAAAACATACAGTAAGACCACAAACAGTGAAAAGGAAGCAGTTAACTTCTCCATGGAAAATACTTCAGATTAATTAAGAAAATCTATTAAAAGGCTGCACTAATACGAGTTGGTATGAACCATAGATATGCTGTCCGTGATTTAGCACTCATGATCAAAGAATTTCATGCCAGCTACAAGTCCAAAATCGACGGTGAAGATAAAAACCAAAGCAGAATACAAAAAAAGTACTCCACAATGATGCAGAAACTCTAAACTCGGCAATCATTCTCCATCTCCGTTGAATTACAATCAACAAAAAACCCAACAACACAAACAACAAAAACCAGTTTCCCATTTCAAAGAAAGGGGAAATCACTTACATTATCGTCATTGTCGCTGTGGTGCGATCCAGAGGACGTGCCAAGGCAAGCAGACCTGAAAACTCTATGGCGCTTGGATCTCCTCCTCCGGACTCTCCCAGAACAAGAGGGAGCCGACGGCGACGGGGACGGCGACGACGGCGGCGAACTTCTCGATGATTTACTTCCACTGGATCCCATCCCTCCAAGCGAACGCCGATTCTTACTCCATGGAAAAAGGCGAGAAGGGGCAAAGATTCAGACAACCCAGATCTAGAAGGATCCCATAAACACAGATTTGAGATTAATGCAACATTATTATAAGAGGGAAGAAGATTTGGGAAAGTAAGAAAGAAGGGAAAGCGTGGGATTGGGAGGCATATTGTGATGAGTAGATGAGAGAAAGAGACAAAGTAACTTGCAGAGATGTGGAAATGGAAATGGAAATGGAGTCCCTTTCTTTGTTCTTGATTATCCAAATGCTAAGCAAAGGGAACCCGAGTAGAGTATTTTCAGTGTCGAATTTAATATGTTATTACTCTGTCGACATTTCAGATTGAAAACGAAGAACATGGCGTTTTCTCTGCCTCCGTTTGGGGGAAAAATTCAAACACCCGACCCTTCGAAACTTGCACCTGTGGGCCACCGGACCCAACTCGGTACTTTCTTCTTGGGCCTTCGTTTGTCTTCGAGTTCGGATCTTCTTAGGCTTCATGAAATTTTACAAAGAAAAAAAGTTTCAGTTTTTGAATTTTACCTTCAATCTTTTTAACTCTTTAAAAAAAATTGTGACTTGGTTATTAGCGATTTTATGGCTGGACAAGACTAGTTTGTGTGGGTATTGGTTTGTCTAGAATGTAGACATATTAGTCGTCAGTTGGAGCATCTTTTGTGCCACAATACTTTCCTATTGATTGGATAACGAGAGATTCTTGCTGTCTACTACTAAATTTTTTATAGGTAAGAGAAATTTGTATTTTTTTCTTAAATAATTATTTTTTAAAAAACAAATGACAAAACTAGGGTAGTTTTCAGAGTAATTACATAAATAGGGTAGATAAATCGTGGGGTGGCCTGCGATTTGACTAAAATCGTAGCCGTTGTCTGCGATGAAATCGAGGTTATTGACCGCGATTTCACTAAAGTCGCAGCCATTGGCTGCGACTTCTCCCTGATGTGGCTCCACTGGAACCACGGCTTTGCTGACGGGTCTTTTGTTTTTTTTTTTTTTTGAGTTTGGAAGTCGCAGCCCCTTTGTTTTTTCCAGAATTGGGAAGTGCAGCCACTCCTTTTGGATTTTTTTTTTAATTCAGAAGTTCCCTTTTGTTTGTTTTCCCTCTTTTATTATATTGAATTTTGAAGTCAGGCACTTCCTTTGTTCTTCTTCTTTTTATATATATATATATATATTTTTTAATTTAGAAGGGGCAGCCCGACTTCCCATCAATATCCTTCTTTTTATTTATTTATTTATTTTAAAAAATCACAATTTAAGAAAAATAATAAATTGTATAATATGAATTTTCTCCATATTCGAAAAATAGATTATGAATTACCTATAACATGATGGACATCTTATGCAATAATTTAAAACAAAATAATTATAAAACAAACAAAATCCTAATTATCCATACCCCAAATTCATGTAGTTTATACCTTGACTTTTATGTTTTTATTAATTTAATATTTTTTTATCGATTTAGTTTATATTAAATTTAAATGTTATTTTATAAAACATACGTAAGGTGAAGCACAATAAGCTAAATGACATTTTAATCATCGAATTGGTTTTGATCTAATTTTAAACTTTCAGACTTTAACATTTTAATCAAAATTTAAAATATAATAACAAAAAAATAAAAAATTTAATTACATCTCAATTAAATTTCACAATATTAATAAAATAACAATATATAAATTAAAATATAAATAAAATAAAATAAATAAATAAGGGGAAGTCGCATACAATGTATGCGACTTCCAAAAATAAAAAAATAAAAAGGTGAAAGTCGCGTACAATGTACGCGACTTCCGCCTAGTCACCTACCACGTCAAATATACACGTTTGCGCGAAAATCGCAGACATACGCGAGTTTTGACTGACCTAACCTATTTTTGTTAATAGTTTTGAAAACCTAACCTATATTTGATTTTATTTATTTAAATTACATTTATTTTGTAGTTATTTTTAAACTAAAATTATTTTTGTAATTTATTTTTAAAACTACATTATTTTAAAACTTTGTCCGAGAAATGGAGATAAAAGAGATATTTTTATCTTTTTTATGAAAAGTAAATACGTGTCATCAAATTTATGCCTCTCATTTGGTAACTATTTGGTTTTTTTATTTTTGTTTTGTAAATATTAATCTTATAAACATTGATTTGACCTATGTATTTTTTTGTTTTGTTATATGGTTTTTATAGACATTTTTCAAAAATCCTGGGCAACTTTTGAGAAGTGTTTAAAATTTGTTTAAGTTCATAAATATACTTTCATAGAGGTAAAAAACTTACTAAATGAAATGGTCTAAAATAAGTATGATTTTTAAAATTAAAAATAAAAAATGAAGGCGACAAGTTAGTGATTTGCGACCAAAAAAACATTCTATTGCTTTGTCAATCGAGGAGTATTGCTTTTTTTTTTCGGCTTGATTTTGCGGTTAAGATCGAGTATTTTCATGATTCAGTTTGGAAAGTTCTACAACATGATTTTGAGTATTTTGTAATTTGAATGGTATGATTTACTGGTTGGTTGATGAGAAACTTTCTAATTTAGTTTGTACAAGATATAATTCGCAGCACTCATTCTAAGTTCAAGGTTTAGAGCGTGGTTTGTATTTTTTTAGGGTGTGTTTGGATTTTGGAGAGCCAAAAATATTTTTTAGACCTCCAAAATACAAAATCAAATTGATTTATGGTTAATTCTCAAAAAAAAATGAATTATTCTAAAATGAAGGATTGCGAATCACCTTTTTTATATAAACTTTAGAATCACTTTAGTTTTTTTTAGTATGTAAATTACTGCTATGTTCGCTTTTTGACTCTGGTCCAGATAAACTTATGATTATCATTTTAAGAAAATGTAACCAAACACACAAGTATTTTAATTAAAATCATTTTATAGAAGTATTTTAAGAAAAAATATCTTTTAAAAAAGTAATTAAAATATAACGTAGTGCCCTTAATTTGATGATATTAAAAGGTTTAAGATTAAAAAAGGATTCATGAGTTAAGTTTAGAGGTTAAATTGATCTTTTCCCTAAATTTTAATTTTAATATATATATAACATTTWAAGTTATTTCAAACCGTCCCTAACGAACGATCGGCTCATCTTTGAGCATGATAAAGAACTTCGTGCCGACCAGTTGCCAATAAACTTTCCGGCCTCATATGAGAATGGAAAACTGGAGCATTTTCTGCATCAGTGGATGACGAATCGCGAACATAATAATTTCTGGTTGACCATGTTCCCAGACAAAAGATACTTTCGAGAAACGACGAGCACGACTGAAGTAGCTATACATACAAATCCATTTACGGATCTATATGCTTCGATTGGAAYTGGAAGTTCCAGAACAGGCGGCTGGTATACCACCATAATGAAACTGYCTTTTCTTTTTTTTATTCGGATAGGATTTCTGTTGGCTTCGTTGGGAGGCTCGCGTAGTTTGTTACGTYAGCTCCAAAAGGATAAGTTGCGTTGGAATTGATAAAGTTCCGTGGAGTTCATAATTGCATAAAAGGAGGAGAAGTAGTGAAGTCAAGTACTATATGAGTTGGTATGTTTTGTCCAACTTTTATGGATTAGTGCATTAATAATTTTCTTCTAAAGTTGATGATTAAAAAAAAAAGTGTCTATTGTTCGTGAGTGGACATATCTATTTCATAGATATAAAGTAATTTCAATTGAGTTATCGAAGTGTATTTTATGTTCGATCATTATTTTGTCAACTAATTTTTATATTCTCTCGTAGTAAAAACTTGATTAAAGAAACCGTCAATGCATAAATCATTAATGGATGGAATTAACAATTTTAATAGATTAGAGATCAAATTAGAAATGACCCAAATAATAAAAATATAATTATTGTAATTTTGCCTCATTATTAACTAAAATATTAYAGGATTAGAGATTAAAGCTATCTCAATCTCCATTCTACTCTATTTACCCCTTTTTAAGTTTCTATAGTTTCATTTCCATCCTATCTTTCATTATAACAATTTGTTTGTTTCTTTACAAATTTGAGAACTATTTGATAATTTAATCTGTTAAACATTTTTCAAGAACTGTGATTGAAGCAAGATTATTTTCTGACCAATAACCTTCAAAAGAAAAATTTTATTGTTCTGACAAACAAACCGTTCATATTGAGAAAAGAGAAAACAAGAAGGAAAAAGAAAAAGCATGCTTTTTGAAAAAGTATCAAACCAAATACTTTTTATTTTATTTAAATATTATATTGGTCCTGTACTGTTTTTTTTTCATTTTAATCCTAATACATTCGACTATTGTTTATTTTAGTTTTCGTACTTTCAAAATGAGTGACCATTTTGATTCCTTCATTTTAATTTTTATCTCATTTTTCGATCATAATCTTATCGTGACACTTCAGTTATTAAATTTCTTAAAATATAACCATTAAAATTTGTATTAAACCAAAATGGACTAAATTGATCAYTTTTTTAAATAATGGAGAAACCAAAATGAATGTTACGWAAGTACAATAATTAAAATGAACAAAAATCAAAATTACATATATTAGGATGAACATTTTAATGCAATAATCAAATGAACCAGGATAAAAAATGTACTAGACCAAAATAATATTTAAATTCTTTTATTTTAAATGATAAAAACCAACTTTTAACTTTTAAGCACACAACTTCCAAATATTGCCACTAGAATACCATCATTATCCCTCTATTTAGGGAATGTATGTGTATTCAAAAAGAGGGATTATGTGAAATTGGAACCATAATTCAAACACCTATCATACAAACATCAAATCTTTTGAGCATTTCCGCAAAGATATGATTTATATTTAAAATATAAAGAGAATATCTTTTAAATTATTTTGAGGGAAAGAAAAGGGATATTTTATATATAAAGAAAAAAAAATTTAAATAGTGAAACTTTTTGGCACATGGAGTAATCTTCATCCATGGGARCCAATCTTCAAATTTTGGTGAAATGATTGCATATTTTTCACAATCTCTCTTTGGAGTCACAAGCAATATGATTGGGATATTTTACCCTCTTTTTTCTTCTCTTTCTACATTACATCTATGTAATGAATTTTCAAGTATGGATGTTCATGGGACGGGACGGGGACGCCTCCACTTCCCATTTAATTCCCCCTCTCCACGAAATTTCCTAGAAAATTTCACGGGAATCGGAAATTTCACGGAGATTGGGGTGGAATTCCTCACGGGGATCGAGTTCCCCACGGGAAATTTTTCCTCATTTCTTTTTTTATGTTTTAAATTATTTGTCAATAAATATTTTTTTCTTAGAAATTTTTATTTAGTTGCTTAATTTATAATGTCTAATTCTCTCAAATATATATATTAGGTGGGTGGGTAGGGAAGAATACATTTTTTTAATACATTTAAAGAGGATAATATAATTATTTTAGTGTCTATGTATATATAAATATTAAAAAAATGACGCGGGACTGAGAACAGAGAAYGAGGACGGGGAATGTATTCCTGTCTCCATCCCCATTTAGGTGGTGGGAAAACTTTTCCCCTATCCCCGTCCCGTGGGAAATTTAAAAGGGGATTCCCCGCCCTATTTAGGTGGGTCCCCGCGGGGATGGGGCCATGAGAAAAATGAACATTCATATTTTCAAGTTTTTAATTATCTAATTATTGCCATTTTTCCTTATAAAAAGTAGTTTTAAATTCTATATTGGTCTCTTACTCCCGGCTAGGTTCATTATGTCTTCTATACTATCAAAATGTAAGTTTTGGTTCGAAACRCGTCTGTTTTACTTTATGTGTTTTAAAAAARTGAGTATTATGGTCCCTTCATTTTCATTTTATCTCATTTCTTTTAGTCACAATTTTAACAYGACAATTCACTCACTAAATTTCTTAAAATATAGTCATAAATTTGTATTATAAGATTTCCATTGTGTTAAAATTTTGCAAATATCTACAAAAATAGTCATTTTTTAAAAGCATATCGATTAAAATGGACATTTTGAAAGTACAGAGACTAAAATGAACAAAAGTTTGAAAGTATAAGGATCAAAATAGACAATGTGAAACCAAGCTAAACCAAAATCGAAAATATAGAGATCTAAACAGTATTTAAAAAAGTTTTTCAAAATACCCTCGTAGCTCGCATGCACAATGTTACATGGATGCTACATAGTCAATGTTTTCCTTCATCTATCTTTATTCTAAATAAAAGTCAATAAAAGAAGAGAAATTTCTTCATATAAAGAAAGGAAATCTGACTTTTGAGAGCAATCTTATATCATAAAGAAAAAAAAAATGTTCTTCAAGTTAGACCTAGGATAACCATCTTTTAAAAGGAGGAAGAATGACTCCTTAATCTATATAAATTTTTTTTATTCATTTTTTAGCTCAAYATGTAGAGTCAAAGAGATTCAAACTCATAATCTATTGGCCAGAGATATGTGTCAGTTAGCACTGAACTAAACTATAAAGAAATGATTGCCTCTTATTTAGATTTGGAAAAGGTATATTTCCATTAACCATCATTTTTATTGCTCAAACATTAACAACTACATTGTACGACGTTCCCAGAAAGAAAAAAAAACTGCATTGTATGACAAAATTTCTTGTTGYTACTTAAAAGAGTTGACCTTCTTGCTTCTCTCATGTTACAATCATCTTCTCACCGAGTCCTCTTTCTCGATCTACAGAGACAAAATRAAGGACTAATATCAACCCAGCATGAAACTTAGAAGTATCTGCTTCTACAAATTTGTTCACGTCTTACATTAGGTTCATAGAATACTACTAATCTTCAAGAAAGTTTAGCTCACTCCATGTCCATGGTCCATTTTAAGGGACAGCAAAGGTTTTAAATTATTAATATTTTCACTTAGGAGACTTTTACRTACTTATCCTCTTAACAAAAAATGGATACTGTACAGAATAAAGAGCAAATTTGTAAGTGTTAGTAAATACATATCTTGAGCATCAAGCTTCGTACCATCTTTTTTTTCTCTTTTTTATTTTTATAATTGGAAGTCGGAGCTTTGCTCCCCCATACCCAAGKGCACTCACGCCCGCCTCAAATTCGGACCCGAGAGACATCAAAGATTTTGATATTAAGTTCACCAGAAAGTTCRAATTTGAGACTCTAAACTATAACTAAAAGATCCTAAGCTCTTGCCAACCGGACTGCTCCTCAGGGACTAGCTTCTAATAACCAATTCATCAAGACATTGCAACCATAACACCTCTGTAGAAGGATTTTCAACCTAATTTCCTTCGACCTTCCTGCTTAGCATAATAGATAATATACAGAACATAAGATATTTAGTCACCCACACTCATCCCCTTTCCCGCCCCGATAACACTCCTATTGGTATTATAAAACAGTTCTACGGTCATGTAACGGTTAAAACCATGGTCAAAAGTTGATTGATGAAAAACATTTGCATTTTCTTCATCGGTCAACTTGCGGTAGGAAGAGCTCGGGCAGATGTAATTAAACATGGAAGAAACAGCTACACTTMTACATCAGCAAGATAATGAGTCAAGGGATTTGTCATTCCTTTTCTATCAGATATATTTGTCATTCATACAAGGTTTACTTCCAAGGAAACTAAAGATTTTTCCTGCCTAATTGCCAAGATAACTGATCAGCTGCTGCCATAGCGCGAGATGCTGCTGCAATGGAACCATCATACCTATCAAGATTAAGGAAAAATGTAAGTGTAAACAAGAATCCTCTGCCCGAATTTTACCGATACTCTACTGATGCAAGCAATCCTTAAAACAGCTGGAGAAGTGGCCAAAAGTATAGAAACTTTTAGCAGTAAACCATACTTACATAGCAACCAAGATAAATGCTGCTGTTTGCACAATAACAACACCTTCACCAGCATGCTTTATAGTGTTCATGCACCTTGCACAAAACCAATTCTCATGAACCGATGTCATTATGTCTGTAACGAAATTCCATCAACATCAGATTCAGTATGAATTAACCCTGAACTACATATAAATATAGATTGTAAATAATACGGCATGAATTGCAGATAAGCAAAGGCTAAATTGCCAATTTTTGTAATGTAGTTTCTTTTCGATCACGAGTTGTGTAAGAAAGCTAAAAGTGCTTTGATTCAATTCTGCTAGAAGAAGCCATCCTAACTTTAAGGTAAACATAGAAAAGCCTAGATGATATCAGAAATGTTCTGATGTTCTTGGTTTCTGGCTACTGTTTTATCTCTAGACTCTTTCATAAGCATTATTCTTCTGTGAGTATGCTCACTGGAAAGTTTCTTTTTCCCCTTTTTCAYCCTTTTGCTGTTCCTTTAAACTTTTAGCTCAAAAGAGAAGACCTTATCCTGCCTAACTTTTAAGATACTATTATTTATATACTTACTTTTATCTAAAAGAATATATATTCCTTTTTCAAAGATGAATAAAATTCCTTCGAACTCTCACTTAATGCACATATTAATGTAGGGTGAAACCATGGAGTTTTAGCACCAACACCAGATCAAGGAAAGGAGGGACATTGTGTAAATGAACAAACAAACAGCTAAAAGGAATTCCCTATATAATTTTCATTTAAGAAAATAAATCAGCTAAGTCAGAAATGGTTACATGACAAAAATCACATTATAGCGAAGCAAACAATTCGATTTAGCCTCAAATTTTTTTCCTTTCAAACTTTGCTGCTTATAAGAGCACTTACACTGATTTGAACCAATGCTGAAACTCTCTGTTTGGGGTTTGTCACGTTTGATGAAATCGATAAACTGATTCAGTTCTATGGGATTGATCAAGATTCCTTCTTGTTCTGCACTGAAGGACAAGCACAAAACAAGCTCTTAGCGCTTCCAGAACAATTCAAAATGAAAACGAATACACAGAGAAGACCCCAAAGGGTTCATGTTTCTAAAATAGAGATGGGACTAGGAAAAAAACTGAGATAATTTAACTCCTAATTACCACCCAGAAGATTAAAATACTTTAAACAAAGCAATGGATTCAATGGGGATGTGTAAAACAGTAGGAGCAATTCTACTGCTCCAGCTCCATGTTCAAACATCGATGTTTGATAATAAAACACTTAATTTTTTTCTTTTTGACAGATGCCGAGATCAAGGGGAGGAAATCCTACGCGAGAGGAACTTGCATAATGAGTACAAATTAGGGAAAGATAAACTACTTGATTAATAACAATTCACTACGCAATATGCTAATCGAGTTTGGAAATCGTTTAATCCCAGTAAAAGAAAAGATCACAAAATGAAATGTATACTAAATCAATCGCGAAGAACCCTATACAATAACGAACATTAAAAATTGCAATTTATGGGCAAATTCAAAGCGAGAAATGAAGGCGGCTTACATGGTTGAAAGCAAGCGGGAAGGTCCGGTTGGATCATAATTAATCAACATAGCAGCTTTCAATGGCTGACCTACAACAAACAAACATAGATAGAAATCGTATCTGAGCAAACCGATTATGAGTCGATACRAAATTAAAATTAGCGTTTGGCGTCGGTTACCGAAGGTGCCGATGCTGGCGGAAGCCCACTTGTCCCAAGCTTTATGGGCAAATGCCCAATCCATGTTAAGGGAAACCTAACGGGCTTCTAAGCTTCAGCTTCCATGGAAATGAACCAGTGAGCTCGGCAGAAATCTCGTAAGTCGTAAATGGTCTTAAGACAATTTTCCCGGGATGGCTTCAGATTTTCTTGGTGGTTTGAATTATAAATTTATGCTCTGGTACTGCGCCTATTCAGTTTTCAATTTTGAAGTTCATGTAATGTAATGTCGGAGGTGGAGTGAAAAAAAATAAAACAAAAACAAAAAACTTAATCCATGTCTTATCCATTTAATTATATTGGATCCACCTATTTAATCTCTATAATTAATATTAGAATTATAAATGGACTAATTTGAATGGTCTTAATGATAGAATTTGAMTTGATGCTTAATTGGTCCATTTAAGTGAACTTYTGTTAAAACAAAAACAAGAAAATAACTTTTGTTAAAGAAAAAAACAAACAAACAAAAAAACAAAAAAGACTTTGATAAAATCAACTAAAATGAAATCTAGCTACCAAAATCGATACAATTTATCTTAATCGACTATTTATCAATTTGATCTGTTTGTCCAAGGCTTGTAATGATTTCAAATGAAAATCTCATGATATTTCTTTTTCTCTTCTTTTTTTAACTAGCATGACGTGGGAATTCAAATTAATCATTAGTAACAATTTTAAATCTCTATACTAAGCTTTATTTTTGCACTCCATCCTTCCAACCAGAAAATTCGGGTTAATGGATTTTTTTACCAACCCGAACGAACCGATGTTGATACCCAACCCAACCCTACGATTTTCAGATTGGGTCATCGGTTCCAACAAGAGAGCCGTAAGAGGGAAAATAAAAGCACCCAGAGGACTAAGCCAAGGAGGGGAAAAATGTGGAAGCAAGGATTGAAATTCAATGGAAAAACAGAAAAGAAGCGTGAAAATCCCACTAAAATTTGTGGGTTAAGAGATTGATTTTGGAGAATAAAAAAAATGGAAAAAACCAATATAAAATCAAAAGAGAGAAAGCACTTGAAAATTACAGCATTCGACAAAAGGAAAGATGAGTGAGATTGAGRGAGGTGAGCAGAGGAGATGAGATTGAGTGTGATGGAGAGAAGGGAAASGGAAGCACGGCATAAAGGGGGAGAGAGAAAGTTAAAATAAAACCCTAGTTTTTAATTTTATATATATATATATATATATATAAAATGTTCGGTTCGATTTGGGTTGAATCGACCAAAAATTTATCTAATTCGTGAACCGAATCGAATTTTTAGTTCTGATAAATTCCAACCCAGCCCTACTTCCATGTTAATAATCTCTACCGCAACTTCAAATTTTTAAAATTTCTAGTCGACAAAAATGTCGTTCATGTTCTTGGCATATAGCTCCCAATTAATTTTTGTTTTTGAAGTATATCAGGTGATATTAAAAGCTCAAACAAGAAGAGAAAATATCACTATATCAGGTGATATTGATTTCCATAGAATAGAAATCCACATTGAATGGAACCATGTTTAATTTTCAATAATAAGACAATGCTAAGCTCTAGCTAGCTCAAACAATGGAAGAAGACACACCGATGACCCGAGTTTGGTGCAGCGATGGCCTTCGTTCTTATTTCCGAGCACTTGGATGAATGACGATTTCCTGATCTATATTTTCTTATAAATCACAATCAAACTATATTTTCTCTATTATGAGCTATAACGTAATGAGGAAATAACCCCCTCATTCTAGGTTGTCTTTCGCTTCAAAAATGCGGTTGTGGCATGTCGGGTTGCAAGGGTAAGGGCAGTCAATCTTCTGGAACGGACTCCTGTCGAAAAACCAGTCTCCAACTGCCTTTGCAATGGTCTGCAACATATGTGAATTCAAGAACGGAAGAAAGTTAGTACTTCAAAGAGAACGCTAACGACATTTATGTTTGCGGTAGTAACGAATTTTCAACATCGATTGACTGATAACTGCTGCTTACCGTCTTACTGAGCACGGGAGAGTCRTCTCGTAACCATGTCTCCTGCATTTCAGTTTGGCAATGAGCATAGCAAGAATCTATGAACAGTCCTCTTGATAAAGAGTTTCCAAGGCCATTCAATGCACTTAAAAACTGTACCCTGAACCCTGAACCAAAACCACAAAGATTAGAATAAGCACATTTTCGAAATGGTTCGAAGACTTCAGAGTTCGATTTTGCGGGAATAGTCTTTTAGGCAGTTCACCTTGCATGACTCGAAGTTGAATAGGCGAGCAGTTTTTTATGTCGAGCTTGCAGTCGTGCCAAGTACCGTGTGGATCGGCAACACCAGGTGCCAGAATGTTCTTTATCTGGATGATTTCAGTAACATGACAATTCAGAAAGCGATCGAGCGGTAAAAGTCGGGTTCTTTACATGTTCTAGATGGGCTATAATTTGGGAAGTATTGATTTCTAATGATCTTTTGAGCTATAAAAGTTACTAACCTGCCATGAATCATAAGCTGCATTTACAAGAAAGATTGGAGTCTGAATGAGCTGAACCACATTTTGGGGAAAGAAACACTGCAGATATATTGCCCGGGATTTCAAAAGAAAGTTCTCGAGAAGAAACGAAAACAGAAACATGACTTTTTTCCTCAATCGTAAACTTACCATCTCGGGTTTCATTTTGGAAGTGCATGATATAGGCAAATTCTTAGCAGAGGCCTGAAAAGTTTTGAGAAAGGAAACCAAAGCTGATATTAATAAATTTAGAATCCCAAAAGAAAATCCCAATTCTTTTTGGTAAAAAGATTGATCATGCGCGTCAAAGATAACAATTAAATATAAACTAAGACGTATCGATATCCATGTAAAAGTCGAGAGGAGCATACATGTGTGGCAACTACATCACTGTAAAAGTCTTGGATATGCTGTGCTCCAGAGACGTCCTTCCTGGTATCAAGAAAATTATAACATTAGATTGCACAAAGGAAAAATCAATCGACCAGAACGAAGAAAAGCCGAGATAAAACACATGATTCGAGCATACACGTTGATAAAAAACCCTGCATCTGAGAGGCACTTTACTTTAGTAGTAGAAGGAAGTAGAGATTTGAAGTTATCACAATGCAGAATGGAACTTAATCCGCCCGCAGAGCAACCCGAGAGAATAGCCTGTATTAGCAACATCCAGATCCATGTCAAAAGGGGCATTTATACGGATTATGATGTGTAGTAATGAAGAAGAAAGTTCTCAGTTCGTACGTTTTTCGCATTTTTCATTCCTTTGGCGAGTAGGTTATCGATGATGGCACGAAAAACTCTCGCTCCTCTGAAATGCAGATTGGTAGCCTGATCCAAGGTATCACTTCTTTTTTTCAGAAACGCCAATGAGGGGTGGATTGGTTCATTCTCACCATATTGATCAGTAAAAGAATCTAAACTTTCTAATCTCAAAACCATTGTGACTTACAGGATCGACAGCTTCTACGTCTCCGGTAAAAGAAGATCCATCGCAGTATCGAACCTTGATTCTGTTCCAGTTGTAAAAATCTATGGCATACAAGTATCTTTTATCAGTTAATCCCTAAACTACATACATTAAAAGTTAACAAATAGAATCAAATCGTTCAGATGAGGCCATACCTGGATTGAACTTTTGTTTATTGCTCAAAATACCCGAGAATGCAAGCTCGGTGACCATTTTCCGCGATGAACCTAAACGAGTGTCTCTGCGCTGGAGGCAAGTCGTGACATTGTTGCACCATCCTCCTCCCTAAAATTGAAATGGAGTTGAAATAAGCAATAACTATTACACAGTAGTATCATTCAGAATGTATTTTACAACGGATTCAAAGTTTAAAAGCTCATTATAGCTTCATTCAATGTTCAATCTCTAAACTCAGCAACAGAAAATTGAAATGTTGTGTTATGTTTCATTGTACAGAAAATCTTGAATAAAGTTTCTACTGTTCCTTCCAATTTGGCCTACTGATCCAATTCATGTCACTTCTACAACAGACCTCATTACTCCATATCTAAGAAAAACGAACAAACCTCGAGTTGAATCAACCAATTGTCGATCCCARCGCCAACCCCGTCACTGAAGTGATAAGCAGGAGGACTTCCATCCAAACAAACTGCACAGTCCACGAAATATCCTCAAGATTTTCTCAATGAAACTAAAAGCAAACTCAAAACAAGACACTTGATTCTAATCAGTAAATCGGATACTCGAGTCACTCGAATTTCCCGAGTTTCTTACCAGCTCCCTTGGCACCAGCTTCTTGAACATAAGTAATCCCCACATTAATACACTGTCCTCTAAGGAAAAACTGTAGAGATGCTATCAGAAATAGCCCTAAACCAAAGTTTTCACCGGCCATCTTCTTCCTGAAGAGATAATAACCAAAAGCCATTCAAATACAAAATCAAACATCACGAAAAAACATGCAGGCATAACAGTTACCATCAAACGTTTCTTTTCAAATAGTGTAAACTAACAAATATGATGCCATTTTTTAGGTGAAAAGGAGAATCCAAAAATGGATTCATCTTGTTTGCTTAATTACCAAGCAACCCAAATGCACTAAAAGAACAACAAACAACAACAACAACAAAATTCAAAATCAGCACACTGTACAAACCAAGAACAGAGGAAGAGAATAAAGAAGAGAACTCAGCAGGCTGTTAATGATGTTCTAAGAGATTAAATAAACATCATACACAATAAACTTTTACACAATCTGTAATGGAAAATAGCTTAACCAAGAAGGAAAAAAGAGACCCAAGAAAGAAAACCCACGAGCGAATGAAAAAAAAAACTGATTCGAAATAAGAACCCACCTGCATTTATCAAGGGAAAAAAGAAAAAGAGAGCAGAAGAGGAAAAGTTTCCTAAAAAAAATACCTCAACAGAAAGTGAAGCTGAAAAGTCAGATGTGGCGAATCAAATGCTTTATTTTCTTTCTTCTGAAGGATCTTCTTCAGTCGTTAATGGAAAAATGGGGGCCAAGGCGCTGAGCTGCTTCTGGTGATTAAAATGTGGGGTTATATAGAGATCACGGAGAGGTTAATGACTGATTAATTGATTATTAGACATTAGACTGCGAAAACTCAGCCTTTGCCCTCCGGATTCTGAGCGTCGAACCCGAGAACCGACACTCATTCCAAGCCGAAATAGGCTCGAAAAGAAATTTGTCTAAAATTCAATAAATAAAATAAAATAAAGATTTCGCAGGGTATGACCGTGGCCGTTTGTTGGAGGGTCCGACCCGACCCGTGTAACAGCTGACACGAATCTTGTCGTTGTCGGCTCCACGCGCTCCCCCTCCAACGTCCGGCTTAAATGTAGGTGGAACGTGCGAGTGAAAAGAGAGACTAAGAGAAATTATTCGGTGGATGGATGCCCACCGTAGAACTCTATCCGCTAGCGACACCTGTCATTTTCTTGATTAAATTTAAAAGTAGACATTGATGAAGCATAAATTCTTTTTTTCTTAATTTTAATAAATAATGTTCATCCCATGGTTTTAAATATCGGTCAATACGTCGTCATTTTTATCGACATATCCATATTTTCATAGATTCGAGATCGACATGAGGGATAAATCGACATTTTCATCATAGTAGACAAAATATAAAAAATATTAACAAAATGTCCCTAATATATACATAATATTAAGATTAATTGTTTTTAACTAATTTAAAAATAGAAAAATGTTTATTCGTTTCATTTAAATATTTTTTACGATGTTTTATATTTTTCTAACTTCTACATATATTTCCATCGATATTTCCATAAAATTGAGACATTGACATCGACATTTAAAACCTTGGTTTATCTATATCCCAACTTATTTTTAATATACTGTTGGAGGACATAATACGACCTAATACATAGTACGATGAGGAAAGATCTCAAAGGTAACTTTTCTCTAGCTACTTCAAAAATATGCAATGATSAAACTATATATTAAGCTCTACTAGAATAATTATAAATATCTCGGAAGACCACTAAACTTATAGAAAGACTGACGTTGAGATGTATCCTATGCAATCATCTACCTCATTGATTTCATAAACGATTTAACAGATCAAAGTTGGAATCTACTGCCTCTCTTCTATAAATAAGAATTTATTTCCGTAAGCAAATATACAATTTTGAGTTAAAGATTATCTAGTATATTGTTTTAAAAAAATGATGGAGAAKKCAGGGAGTTATTAATATTTTTTTTTATTTTATTTGTTAAGATTTCAAAGTTATTTTTGGGTATAATTTAATTTTTATTTATTCGGGTAATTATTAACAATAATCTATTATCAAAGTTTTGCCCTTCCCCGAATTTACAATCATTCCAACGGAAGTTTTTATTTTTTCCTTTTACTTTTTGAAAGGTCGTTCCCCTTTTCAAATCATCAAAGTGATTGGAAATTGAATCTAATTCCAATTGCAAATTAACTTTTCTTTCCAACTATAAAATTTTAACTTATATGAATCAACTAAATAAATGCAGTTTGTCTATTATTTTACTTTTCATATAGTTTAATTAATAGGTGGATCTCACTATAATTTATACAACAAATAACATATGCTTTATTTAAAAAAAAAACAAAAAATCCTATCCAATTCAAAGATCAAGCCATAAAAAATAAACAGGAAGCATTTTATTATTATTAAAACTAAGAGCTAACTTTAAAAAATTCGCTATAAGAAATTGGTTGTGCTAGGCTAGTAGGATTGACTAGCAAGTTTGTTTCCAAATTTATCATTAAACTTTAACACTTATTTTAGGTTGGTTACCAGAATTTTCAATATTACGTTTTAGTCTTTCAATTCTTAAATGTTCTATGTTACTTTCTTAAAATTACATAAAAATTTATTTTAGTATTTTATTGTTATTTTTTTAATTGATTATTTAGTTTAAAATTTTTAATTCCTTATAAAATTTCATATGTAACTCWCTCCATGTAAATGAAAATATTTATTCAAATAGACCTTTAATTATCAAAGTAAATGGAAAAACTTTCATTTTGGCTCATTTGGATCCATGTATTTTAAAATGTTCATTTTGGTCCATGTACTTTCAACTTTGGTTTATTTTACTCTCCCTACTTTCAAAATGGTCCGTTTTGTCCATGTATTTTTTAAAGGTGACCATTTTGGTCATTTAATTTTATTTATAATCTAATTTTTCTATCATAATTTCAACGTAATACTACACTCAATATATTTCTCAAAATGTAATCATAGTTTTACATTAAATAATTTATATTTTGCATATAAATTTTGTTAAAATTTTAAAAATATGAACAAGATAGTAATTTTTTAAAAGTACGTGAATCAAAATCAACCTTTAGAAAATACAAAAACTAAAATAAATCAAATTTTAAAATATAGAAATTAAAATACATATGTTAAAAATACATAGAATAAAATAAATAAAAAAAGTACAGCAAGAAAAATGGTGTTTTAACTTAACTTTAAATTTAACTATAGATATCTTAAATATGATTCTCCATCATTGTGGATCATATAAGAAAAAAGGGAACTGATCAGGTGCATAACAGTGCACAGGGACGGATGGTCGTGATTGGCGGAGATGGAATTGGACGGCGGCGATGCATGATGAATGAAGGAAAGTGATTGACGGTGAATCGGTTATCGGGTGAAGTGGGGCCCACAGAGCATCTGGAAGCTTTTATTGTGGTCATCCGCCGCAGACAATTCTTGCCGCTACGTCKGGTTCCCATCAACTCCGAAAAGCTGTTGTCCAATAAACGCGTCATTTTTTTGCTCCCCCACCCGCCCCCTTTCCAATTTTTTTTAATGTTGTATTTTCCAAAAATAAATAAAGGGTTTTCAATAATGTTTTGTCCACTTAATTTGATTTACACAAAAAATAGACAAAACTAAAATATAGAAATTAGAATAGTATTTAAATCATAAATAAATATTTTTTCATATATATTACTTTTAGTTCTTATTGGTAATAATATTTTGTTTTGATCTTTGGAATTTACATAATGATATATTTAAATATTTACTTTTAAACTTTACCATGCATTGAATGGAAATATTATGTACTACGTGTATCAATTTAACTCAACTTTTTATTAAAATCAATATCAAAACCAATTTGTCGATGTAGTAAAACGAAAATCACARGGTACAAGATTAAAAATTAGTTAAATCCATCAAATCTATATGCCTACCAAGTAAAATTGAAACTAATACCAAAATTGAGATTATTTACTTATTATTTAAAAGAAAATTTATCTCATGCTAGATAACATGTGATGCTTTCCATATGAATATCTTSATTGTATTTTGACATGTTATAAATTTTTGGGCTTTTAGATCTCAAATGATATGATTTCTACTTTATTTATAACAAAGAAATAAGTAAAAATAGAAAGATTTTAACCAGTAATAAATACTTCAAACTAATTAAAATTTCTTAGATTATCACACTCATGAATTGAGATGATAAAGTTTTAAAAGTAAGGAATATTTATATACACTTTTATTAATTCTTTTTGTTGGCATGTAAACAGGTCAAAAATGGCTATAAATAGGTAGGTCCTGTTTCACAATTAAGAATAACTTATAATACGATGAGAATTGTAAAATATTAAATATAGCCAAGCCAGTGGGTAYGTGAGAGGAAGTCAAAAGGCAAGTCTTTTTATTATTTTAAAAAATAATATTCTATATATAAAAATTTGAAAATTATAATATATTTATATGAATAAAAAAAGGGTGGTGGATGATGATTGAAGAAAGTTCCTACTTTTGGTCGTATGGACAGTGACCGATTAGGACATGTAGCCCACCGACATTGTTAGTAACATGGCCKYCTTCTTGTMTTATTGGATTGTCAGAATCTTTTAATTKCATATTAACCTTTTAATTAACCTGAGTATTGTTGTAGTAATTTCTTTTATAGGTCAAAGTCTAAATCCAATCTAAGGTATATATAAAAAAAACTACGAATATTTCTTATAAATATTATATGAGTTTGAATAAGGGACTGAGCTAGATCTTAATTTTATGAAAATATAGATAAAATRTCGCCATCAATTAATAGTTTTAGAAAAATTRAAAAAATACAACATTTAAATTAACTAATATACATTTCAWTTTTTTAAAATAAGTTTTAAATTATTAATATTAGTAATATGTGCATATATATTAGTAATATTTTGTCAATTTTTTTAAATTGTCGATTCAGCTTTCATGTCGGTGTCAAACTCATGAACATGTAAAAAATATTAGGGTGGAAATGTCGATATGTCCATCTAAATTTAATAACTCTCCTCATATGATATCACACATAAAAAATGACTACGCGAGATATTAGTATTTTCTTAGTGAAAAAAATTATTGAGATAGAAGAACAAATTGAGAAGTTTTATTTAAAGTGATTTTAAACGCGTTTAGAAATTTCAAAAATATTGTTTAAACTACTAAATGGTGATCGGTGCMATGGATAATATAACCTCTCCCTGTAGATTACACTTGCGAAAACTGTGGAAAAAAAATACTTCTGTTTTACCAGAAATATTTTTTTATCATTCAAAAAAATCATCTCACACTCATCCTAAACCACAATGTAACGAACGCAAGCTTGAATTAATTTATAAATTGCGGTGTGTTTAGTATTTTTATATATTTTCTTTAACACACTTTGTTTTTTTAAAATATGCTTCAATAACCAATATTTTTTTTAATTTGTTTCATAGACGAGGACAATGACTTATCTTTTCAAAGAAATGAAAATATTGTACTTTATTCTAAATCATAAATTCACGAATAGTGATTTTCAAGTACAGAATTAATCTCAACCTTTATAAAACACTCTGATCAAGGTCTTTAAAAATAACAAATTCCAAAAAATAAAAATAAAAAATAAATTGAATTTTGGAAACAATTCTCAAACAACCTCTTTCTTTTCATTTTATTTTTCTTTCTTTTTTGTTTTTTTGTTTTTTAATATAAATACTCGAGGATAGAGATATTAAAGTTGTTGATGAATTCCTTCAGACTAATTAATGTTTGTCATGTGTGGGATAAGGTTCAAAAAAAGACTTTGGTGGTAGGCAAAAGTCTAGGGATGCTTCTTCTTTTTCACCTCTAAAGAAAA